GACCTCAAAAAACCGAGCAGGAATCGCTATTTTCAAATTCTGAGCGGATTTTGACCAGATTTTGTATAAAGGGGTTTTTTGGGTCGCTGATTACGAATATGAATTCACATTGTAAAAATTCAAGATGGCTGATCCAATATGGCGGGTGTACTTTTTTGAAATCCACCGATTTCAGTAAAATTTGGCATCATAAGGATTGCTGGTTGATCTCACCTTCATTAATCACACATCTGGAGCCAGATTTTCATAAATCAAGGTAAAAGATTCCACTCCGTCTAAAAATGTGACTTCGCTTAAAAAAATGACTTAAGGACTCTACACATGTAATGATGTGTAGTGTGATGTGCTTGTTTCCATGGGACAAGACAAAAAAGTTTCTACTTTATTCTTTCATTTATTTAGTCGTGCATGGGCTTATGGTTTTCCAATCAGATTTTTTTAACTACTATGCAGTTTTCCTATGGCATTTAGATGCTTTTATTTCTTAATAATTTTAAAGTTCAAGGAAAAGGACACATTATTGCCACACATCTGCTTATGCCTTCAATCTAAAAATGTGACTATGCCGAAAAAATGCCGCCTACTCGGCCTAAAATTATGACTGCCTACAAATTTTACCTAAAAAATACGTCAGAATTGATATTTTAATTGTTGCTGTTCTGACCTTGAGAAGGTCAAATGTTGGAAATTTGCTTGCTAGCTAATTCTTTGGGCAGTTTTAACGTTGTGAACGTACCTTTAAAAGGTAGATCAAACTCAAATTTGACGACTTTGACCTGAAGGTCAATTTTCAAGGTCATTTGACGGACCCGGAGTTTTTTTATGGGAAAAACAAATTTTGACATCGGAATCCAAAAGAGCGGAAAATTTATAATTCAAAAATGTTATTTTTGTGTATTGTTCAGATCATCAAGGCCATTTAAGATTTCATATTCCACAAACACTTAGAAGCTGTTGCTTTAAAGTGTTAAGGACATTCAAATGATTTTGAAAATGACCTTAAGGTCAACATTGTTACGGTCGTTGTCACATTTGAGTTCGATATTTCCTATAAAGGTACCTTCACAACGTTTATTCCGCGATAACTTAAATAAACAGCTACCGGGCTATTTTTTGGCATTTGACCTTGATTTGACTTCTCTAGGTCACAAAATCAAACTTGAAAATATAATTTTGAACGAAAAATTTCCCACTCTATGAATCCGGTGTCAAAAATAGGGGTTCCTAAATAAAAAAAAACACTCTGACCTACAAGTGACCTTGAAAATGAATCTTAAGGTCACAACTAGTTGCTAGTTATCCTGAAAAACTTTTGTCTGAGCCATTTTTCCGTATCACGCTTAAATTAAAATAGGCCANTTTCCCAGTAAATTTTCATCAATTTTCACTATTTTTCACAAGTTTTTTGAGGTTAGGAAAAAATTGTGACGTGATGGGCCAATTCTGTCCCCAGATTCGTGTTCAGGAGGCCAAATTACTACGAAAAATATAAGTCGCATAAAAAGTATACCCAACTTTTTTTTGTGTGTGTGGCTGTGTATTCAAAAAAAAACGCGACGAAAAAATTTTTACTTTTTTCAAAGCCATTTTTGGACACTTGAAATGAATAAAATCTTTATCGCTCTTTTTTACCATGAAAGTACAACTCTTAAGGAAAAAATTAGCCCTGATTCGTTTCTCTACCTGTTTTTCGAAAAGTCGATATAATTCGAAAAATTTTTAATATTTTTTAATTTTAAAAAAGCACTTTATTTTCTGATGGGGGCTATATTTACAGCAATTAACAAGTTTAAAAACCTTAATTTGCAAGAGATACAGCAAAAACAAAAAAGTCGATTTTTGACGGTTTTTTCGATATATCTCGAAAAGTAATGTAGCAATCGATATATGTATTTAAAAAGACCAATCGATAGTTTTTTTTTAATAGCTACAACTTTCTCATTTAACTTGTTTCGGTTACAGTTCAAGTTTTATTTTCATTAGCAAAAAAACGTTTTTTTTTGACATTTATGAATTTTTTAGGTTAACTTCGCCGTTTATGCGCCACAGGAAAAATACACTTTCTTTCTTAGAATTTCTTCCTATATCACCATATTTTTTGTTTCAAGGTATTTTTTGTAAGCTCTTCTACCGGATTCGAACAGAACGGTAAAATTTATGACCGAAATGATATTTTCAAGTTTGTTTTCGTGACCTCGAGAAGGGCAATTCAAGGTCAAATGGCAAAAAGTTGCCTGGTAGCTGTTTATTTGAGTATTATGGCGAAATAAACGTTTTGAAGGTACCTCTATAGGAAATATCGAACTCAAATGTGACAATGACCTTAATAATTTGACCTTGAGGTCATTTTCAAGGTCATTTGAATGTCAAAGTGTTTATTTTGAACAGATAACTTTATTTTTGACAACGGATTTAAAAAAAAAATTATGTCAGAATTGATATTTTAATTGTTGCTGTTCTGACCTTGAGAAGGTCAAATGTTGGAAATTTGCTTGCTAGCTAATTCTTTGGGCAGTTTTAACGTTGTGAACGTACCTTTAAAAGGTAGAACAAACTCAAATTTGACGACTTTGACCTGAAGGTCAATTTTCAAGGTCATTTGACGGACATTCACCTTTGAGTTCGATATTTCCTATAAAGGAACCTTCACAACGTTTATTCCGCGATAACTTAAATAAACAGCTACCGGGCTATTTTTTGGCATTTGACCTTGATTTGACTTCTCTAGGTCACAAAATCAAACTTGAAAATATAATTTTGAACGAAAAATTTCCCACTCTATGAATCCGGTGTCAAAAATAGGGGTTCCTACTTAAAAAAAAAACACTCTGACCCACAAATGACCTTGAAAATGAATCTTAAGGTCACAACTAGTTGCTAGTTATCTTGAACAACTTTTGTCTGAGCCATTTTTCTGTATCACGCTTAGATTAAAATGGGCCACCCTGTATGTAAAAATTACAATTTTAACGACCCATAGCTTGACATTGTTAATGACAATTTAAGTGAACTCTCAAAACTTCGTTTCAAGTGATAGTTGGATGTTTTGGTTTCAGTTTCAAAGCACTCTTCGTAAAAATGGATAATTTGGTATTTCGGCGAAAACAAAAATGTAAACCACATCATATGAGCGATACATCAAATCAATTTGGAATTTGACAGATTTAGCAGTTTTCTGGCGTTTAATTAAATTATCCTGAATATTTTGGCGAGAAAGGTATTTTACGAGCTTCGTCTTGACAAATATAATAAATATTTTGTATCAAAATGCACGAAAAATGATGTTTAAACGTCAACTCTAACAACCGCTATTAACTCGTAACATGAATGAAAATGCTGTGTACCACTGGTCCTTTTTAAAGCCACTGGATATATATGTGGCAGCACTAGCTCCATCTAGCTGTCACTAGCGCTAGATCTTTGCAAATCAATGGTACTAATATATGGAGGAATCTGCGGATAACACTTTAAAATGGATTGGGAATAAATGTAACCAATGCAATAAACAATGCTGACTTGAATGCGTAACCTTGACTGTTAATTAATTTTGGGTCGAATTGTTTTTTAAAAGTAACATATTTGTTGCTGGAATTTCTTGAAACAATGGAAATTACAATTAAATAAATACCGAAGTAGCTCCATTTTGCTAAGATAGTGCATCGTTATCTATTGACTAAAAGTTTCCTGTGAATTTAAAGAAAATTGGGTACTTACGAAAACAATCATTATGAAGAACGCCGCGAAATAGGACGTCCTCGCCATCCACATGCTGACGAACCTGTAATGCTCGCCCGATACAACGTTCCTACAAAAAAGAAAAAATGTAAATCAGAAATTTTTTTTTTAAATTCAAGGGTTCCAAAAAGAAAGTGACCCAATGACCCGAAAATTTGAAATAAGTGACCTATATCCTGATTTCATCACAAAAAAATTGAATAATGCACTACGCCAGGTACAGAACACATAAAAACGTAGGCGGGATTGAGGGGGGGCAATTTAACTAAAAAAATTAAACTCGGAGTTAAACTTCAAGGGAGTGCAATTTCAATAGTCGTATGGCAACAGATCGTAGTTAAACCGCAGATAGGCAGGGAAAATCGAGTTCAATACTCGTAAATCAATGTGCAGGCAAGCAATTTTGAAAATAATTTTTTTTTTATTTTACGATTTTAAACGTTGTAGCTCTGGTACTAATGTAGTATAATTTTATAAAAGTTGTGTTAGTTTTGGTGATTATTGAATTTTATCTTTTCCATTTTTATCTACAGGGTGATCCATTAACGGTATCGAGCGGCTGTATATAGAAAACTAGATGTGCTACGATTATGGGGTAAAAAATCTATTGACAAATACGACCAAAAGAAATTGATTTAAAATATTTGCAAGTTTGTAACATTACCGCAAGGGGGCGCAACTGGTATAGTGTTACAAAAAATTGTTGGTTTTTCAAAATTTCGCTTATATAACCTAAGTTGCAAATATATTTTTTAGATACACTGTTAAACCCTTCACAAGTTTTGTTTGAACTTTTTTGTTTGTTATTACCATAGCAACGTCAGTATGAAGGACGCCATCTTGAAATTTTTAAATTGTCGTAACTTCAAAATGCCTTAATCGATTTCAATAAACGATGGCTCATTTTAAAGAACTATTAATAAAATTTATTTTTATGATNGCGCCATCTAGCCGTCACTAGCGCTAGTTCTTTGCAAATCAATGGTACTAATGTATGGAGGAATCTGCGGAAAACACTTTAAAATCGATTCGGAATAAATGCAACCAATGCAATAAACAATGCCGACTTGGATGCGTAACCTTGACTGTTAATTAATTTTGGGTCGAATTGTTTTTTCAAAGTAACATATTTGTTGCTGGAATTTCTTGAAACAATGGAAATTACAAATAAATAAATACCGAAGTAGCTCCATTTTGCTAAGATAGTGCATCGTTATCTATTGACTAAAAGTTTCCTGAGAATTTAAAGAAAATTGGGTACTTACGAAAACAATCATTATGAAGAAAGCCGCGAAATAGGACGTCCTCGCCATCCACATGCTGACGAACCTGTAATGCTCGCCCGATACAACGTTCCTACAAAAAAGAAAAAATGTAAATCAGAAATTTTTTTTTTAAATTCAAGGGTTCCAAAAAGAAAGTGACCCAATGACCCGAAAATTTGAAATAAGTGACCTATATCCTGATTTCATCACAAAAAAATTTAATAATGCGCTACGCCAGGTACAGAACACATAAAAACGTAGGCGCGATTGAGGGGGGGCAATTAAGCTAAAAAAATTAAACTCAGAGTTAAACTTCAAGGGAGTGCAATTTCAATAGTCGTATGGGAACAGATCGTAGTTAAACCGCAGATAGGCAGGGAAAATCGAGTTCAATACTCGTAAATCAATGTGCAGGCAAGCAATTTTGAAAATAATTTTTTTTTTATTTTATGATTTTTAAACGTTGTAGCTCTGGTACTAATGTAGTATAATTTTATAAAAGTTGTGTTAGTTTTGGTGAATATTGATTTTTATCTTTTCCATTTTTATCTACAGGGTGATCCAGTAACGGTATCGAGCGGCCCCCTAGCGGTAAAGTTACAAAGTTGCAAATATTTTAAATCAATTTCTTTTGATCGTATTTGTTAATAGATTTTTTACCGCATAATCATAGCACATCTAGAATCCTATATACAGCAGCTCAATACCGTTAATGGATCACCCTGTATTTTTTTAACGTCTTTGCCTATGGAACTCGAGAAATTAATTATATTTATGTAATTATGAACGTTTTACTGAACTTACTTATGAACTTCTCTGAAACGTCATAAAAAATTTTATTCAATAATGAAATAGAACTGTATATGTTATGGGAACGATTCGATCAACTTTGTGAGTTTTGCGCAGTTTTAAGTATTTTTATTTTTCATATTTTCAAGTGAGAATTTGGAGTCGTACAGATTTTGTGTAGATCCAATTAATATTTAGAACTGTATAAAGAAAATATAAATTTTGTATTTCAAAATTTATATTTTCGCACGACTTTTATAGTTTGAAACGCTGTAGCTCAAGAATTATTCGTCGCAACTACATTTTTATATTCCTTTTGGTAAATATTGAATAATATTTAAAATTTTTATGCCGATTTTAGTATTCGTCTATACTTTTTCTGATTTGCCAATCAATAAAACGAGAACGAATAATTTTTATTTTCTCACGAAATTTTTCAGGAATTTTTGTATAATAATATAAATTGTTAAAATGGTAAATGGATTACATTAAATTTATTTATTTGTAAATCCTTTTATTCCCTAACAAAACAAAAACTATAAAAAAAATTTAAAGTTGCAAAATTGCTTGGCTGCATTTTTCGAGAGATGTTTGCCCCCTCAATGACTTGGGCGAAATCCCGCCTATGCATAAAAAGTTAATATTTTGATACATTTAAGAGGGCTCTATGACAAATAGGCAACCTGCAATACATTTTCATAGATTTTATTACACAGTTTGTCTAAATATGAATCAATGCACAAATAACAGACTTTCCCCACATTTTAACACAGATTTTCTGCAAAATGTAGTTAGTTTGAAACTCGCATAACGTTTTGGTGTAAAGAAATTAGTAATTTACTGATTCAAAAGCGGCAAATTACAAATTTCTTTAAAACAAAAAGTAATTTGAGTTTCAAACTAACTCTATTTTACAGAAAATCTGCGTTAAAATGGGGGGAAAGTATGTTATTTGTAGTTTGTCAATGTACAGAAATTTTTATAGACAGGCAATGTTTTTCCTCTTATTTTCATATTAAAAGGGTATAAAATTATTAATCTTCCTTCGATGCAGTCACTAGTGATGACCGCTAAATCGCGGTCACCAAAATTAGCCCCCCGAATGTTAACTTGCCTCAGGTATCCTTTATTGTCCTCCTGATCGGCTAGCGTCTTTATGGAGGCTATCAGCAAATCGTCGTAACCCAGGAACTCCTCCAGGATCAGACGACTGAACGAGTCCCCGAAACATTCGTCCTTGCCGGGGTCCAGAAAGACGATCTGCACGGGTATCTTCAGCCTGGCCCTGGTGGCGGGATTCAGTCTGAGGAAACCGTACTCCAAGGAGTATTCCACTATGTATTCGTCATCGTGGAACGTTGAACCTTCAAAAATATGAAAAAGATTTGTGCTACAGTAATTATATATAGTAGCAATGACAATAGAGTTAACATTTCAAGGAGATTTAAGAGATTAGACATTTGATAATTTTCTAGTGTGATTGATTTAATTTAAAAAAAAATTAGATTTACTTTTGTAATTAATGCGACATTATGACAAGTATCTTATGGGTTTTAGCTTGACAAATATCTAAAAATTTACTAGGAAAAATATATAAATATTGAAGACCAAATGTAAATTTTGACTCGCTTTTAAATGGCATGGAACACCAATCAAAATGCTTCGACACTATTGTTGCCACTGAGTATTCGGTAAAGTCCCTAGATTGTCCAAATACCCCAGCCAATTGTTGTCATTTTGTTTGAAAATGATGGTTTATCAAATGTAGGGATCGACATCGACGTTAGAATGATATATCGAAAAATACATCGATACTTTCAATACATCGATTGTTTTTATGGAATTTAATATGATTATAGTTTTAAAAAGCCTAAAAATGAAGTAACTTGCATGAAAATGAAAGCAAGAAAACATGAAAGATGCGTTTAAATCCAAAATCTTTCTAATTCAACATGCTTGTTTCAGTCACAAGAATAAATCTTTCTTCGTATCAAGAATCATTCGATAGAAAAATTCACATGCTAATAGCTTTTATATTTGTTGGTAATATTCAATTCTTCATTTTGGGCATCTTTTCAACCCCTAAATAAGGGTGATTTTTGAAAGTTTTCAAAAAACTAAAAGCTATGCTCATCTTAATTTTTTACGAGTAATTTGAGACCAAATACATATTTTTATCTATTTTCTTTAGTTCTCTGCAAATTGTGGAAAAACGGACAATTTTTGCGGTTACTCTTTTACGCTCGAGTCAGAGTTTTCCGCTCGCTGCTTGCCCCACTACCGCGTGGAGCGTACTTTCGATCGTTTCGGGCGACTTTTTAAGGGCATTTTTAGCATATTTCTGATCACCCGGTCAAAAACTCGAGAAAATTGCAAATTTTATCGTCTACTCTACATTTTTGATAAATCGCCACGCTGTGCAAAAAAAGACCCTAATTTGTTTATAATGCAACGATTAAACTACATATTATTATCTGTCATTTTCCGCAAGATTGTTTTTCCATCTTCAAATTTGATGAAGTTATGAATTTTCGAAAAAAGGTCTATTTTAGAGGTTTTTCCAGATTTTGTCTGTAAAAAATGAACCAATCGGGTCGCACAAAAACCATTTTATAGGTTTTTTTATTCTCTACAAAAGTCCTTTTGAGAGTAAGACGATTCCATCATTATTTTTTGAGATATTATAAAAAAAAACAAAAAAATTTCTTTTTTTTTTGCAGTTTTTATTGTTTTAAAAAAAAATTTTTCACGACTTTGCTTGGAAAATCACTTGGGTTTTCATATACTAAGTATTTTTCAAAAGGAAATATATGAAATTTGCTGTAATATTTAAGTGTGCCAAAAAATCTCTATTGGTTGACCAAAAAATTAAAATAGGTTTACTCATTGGATATATCGAATAAAAAACACTGATACATCGAATATATCAAAGCGTTAAAAGTATATCGGTTGAATTCGATGCATCAATACTATACATCGAATGTTTTTAATACTTCGATGTATATCATCCATCCCCAATTAAATGTCAGTTGTGTTTGACATTTCTAAATATTCCGCTGCATATTGATTTTTAACTTTTTAAAATTTTTTTAGAATTAACTGCTATTTATCGCAGAAGGCTATCAAAATTTAATTATCGGTACCNAAATGAAGTAACATGCATGAAAATGAAAGCAAGAAAACATGAAAGATGCGTTTAAATCCAAAATATTTCTAATTCAACATGCTTGTTTCAGTCATGAGAATAAATCTTTCTTCATATCAAGAATCATTCGATAGAAAAATTCACATGCTAATAGTTTTTATATTTATTGGTAATATTCAATTCTTCATTTTGAGCGTCTTTTCAACCCCTAAATAAGGGTGACTTTTTAAAGTTATAAAAAAACTGAGCTATGCTCATCTTTATTTTTTACGACGAGTAATTTGAGACCAAATACATATTTTTATCCATTTTCTTTAGTTCTCTGCAAATTGTGGAAAAACGGGCAATTTTTGCGGTTACTCTTTTACGCTCGAGTCAGAGTTTTCCGCTCGCTGCTTGCCCCACTACTGCGTGGAGCGTACTTTCGATCGTTTCGGGCGACTTTCAAGGGCATTTTTAGCATATTTCTGATCACCCGGGCAAAAATTAAATTTTTATTGGTTGACCTAAAAATTAAATTAGGTTTACTCATTGGATATATCGAATAAAAAACACATACATCGAATATATCAAAGCGTTAAAAGTATATCGGTTGGATTCGATGCATCGATACTATACATCGAATGTTTTTAATACATCGATGTATATCGTCCATCCCCAATCAAATGTCACTTTGTGTTTGACGTTTCTAATTATTCCGCTGCATATTGATTTTTAAGTTTTTAACATTTTTTTAGAATTAACTGCTAGTTATCGCAGAAGGCTATCAAAATTTAATTATCGGTACCATTTCAAATACAAATTTTGGATTAATGTGCAATAATGTTCAAAATTGTCAGATAATTTAAAGAAAAAATATTTGAGGTGTCTTTTTTAATCACATATCTACGTAGTAAAATTATATTTTTTACACCATATAGAATCATACTGAAGAATCAGTTATATCTTTTTTCTCAAAATAGCAAGTGTTTGCGGAACTTTATCAATCTAGTGATAATAGGTTACATATGTTTCAGCGCCATCTATGATTTTAATCACAAACTTTGTAATTACGTGAAATACCAACTGATGGTTCTGGGCGCTATAATGGCAATTTTTCTTGACAAACTGCTTTAAGACTAGTTGATTCAGTCTTAAATTGTTCCTAACAATTTTTGGATACAGTAAAGTGTTCAATTTAAATATAATCTATTCATTCTAACTTATCGACTATTCTCAAAACTTTTAGCAAATAAATTTACAATTTCACGTGTCGGTCACAAGGATTATAAATCATTACCAACTCTGTATCCAAATTAATTTTTTTTGTTTTTTTCTCTCTAGCAGTCTAGTCATCAGTAAAACAAATGTGTCTATAATATTGTAATTTTTCTAAATAATATGAAACAACTGTGGTCTGACGGTTAAAAAGAGAAACTAATAACTTTTCCATCACTCAGTCGTAGCGAAACGTTTGGAAACATTGGACGTAATCAGTTACAGAGGTTACTACGGAACGTTTCAGAGGGCCACCATTGTCTGAGGAGTGGTTGCATCTGTAGCAGCCTCAGAAGCAACAATAAAAACCAAAATGAACATCAGGGAAGGCCTAGGGACTGTGAAAGCAGATCGGCCCCTACAGAGCCTAGCCCGAGAACTGGGGTAAGTCAAAGATACGTAAGGCTATGGAAGTAAGTATGTGGTTGTGACCAGGTACGTAAGTAACGGCATAATGCGAAAACAAACAATCGTTAGACAAACCACAAAAGTTGACAGTTGCTAACACATTAAAATTTTAGGTTAAGTAGTTCAAAATTTAAATATTTCTCCCTTCAACTTTGCAATTCCTTTGGGCATCAGAACTAGTGACGTCACCAATAAATTAATTTACAAACAATCCTTAAAACAGTTTCCTCGAGAAAAAATACCTTCACTTCATTCTTAAGTTCATTAAAAACAATCCACAATGGCACCATCTATAATTTTAAGCTCAAACCTTCTAATTGCACAAAACATCAAAAGATGGCTCTAAATATCGTCCAATTACTTTCCACAACTAAACTTTTACGATTGCAAAATTAAAAGTTTCTAATCCACACTAACCTTTCAACTTGCTCACGCTCACAATTTTCTCCTCGCTCCGTTCAGTTTCCTCGACGTCCTGAGCCTCCGTCGAATTCGTGGCGTCGTTTTCCACGTCATCGATAGCGTAACCCGAGGGAAAAATCGTCCTCTCGGAATAAGCCTGAGGGTTCTCCGTCAACATGTTAAACCCGTCCCAAATGGTCGACGAGACCCCGCTTACGTTCAGGAGGGAATTCGGAATGATGCTCTGCGCCGGTTCCGAATCCGAACCGTTGTTCTCTACATAAGCTAACGGAAAATTACCATTAATTAGAGCAACTGGCAGATTTCTAATTTTTTTAAGCTCGTAAAATGCAAATAATAATGGGTTTAAACGAGCAGTAGAAAGTTGTTGGCTAGAAACAATTAATGTCTTTTAATTTTATTTATTGGTGATTAATTTTATCTACTTTTACTTTTACCGATTACGACTGTGATTATACTCGAGCAAAGCCAGCATAACGTTGCATGAATTGGAAATAAATGCTTATAGTACAGCTGTGGACAAAAAAATCTTTCCACTCTAAAGTGGCGAAATGTTAATATTTCAGACGATTAAATCAGGCTTCTAACGACAGTGGGGTCCAAATAGGAACGATATTTGTACAACAATATCCACAAAAATAGTATTTTCTTTTCACAGATTGTAGTTTGAGTTTTATAAAAAAATTTAACTGCGCCATATAGTAAATAAATATTAAACCATAAAATTATTTCTGAATTTGTTGGATACTTTTATGCCAACTAAGCGAATCACAAATAAAATTGGAGTATTTATATATACAGCAAAGAAAAGAACACAAAAAAATCACGATGTCGGAAACGATTTATTGTCCATAGCTGTAAAAGACACATTTTTTTAGATATTACAATGACAGCACAGATATCAGCAATAATCACACTATTTTTAAAACACAACTTTGCAAAAAACTTGTACTTACTTTGCATATCAGAATCTAGCGGCTGGGTTTCCTTGGTGCTGTCCTCGACAGCCGACGGCTCAATATTGAACCCCTCCCTGGCAAGAAGGCCTATCATGTGAACAAAGTCGTCCACCTTCACCTGCTGCTTGAGCTTCTCCTCTTTGGCGTAGCTGTGTTCGATATTGTAATCCTGACCGGCGTTCCTGACAATCTCTACCCGCAAGATGCCGTCTCTGGGCCAGGTATCCTTCACATGTTGCAGACACGTAGAGGGCGTCTTTGAAAATGCCGTATGTATGTACACTAACACGAAAAATGCGGCGATTGCTTTTATTAATATGAGGAATTCCAGGAACCTCCTCAGGGGTTTGGGAAATGTCCTTGCATAAGCTAACGCGGCTCTGTAGAACAGAGTGTGGAACAGCCTATCTCTAACGTTAAATAATGGGTTTAGATTATTGTTATTCCTAATTCTATTTAGGTTTATTAACGGTCCACCGCCGAGGTGGTTTTCTAGGTTTATCCCTTCGGGGGCAGCAGGAGCGTTTCCAGACATATTAGCTTAGTTTTTTGAGGAACTATGCGAGAGATACATCCTGGAAATACAAAAGTAGGTTAAAGTACAGATTTCTCCAAAGATAACCTAACTTTATTCAAGTGGTACAGCAGATTGGTTTTTTTATTTCTACATGTGGATCGTGCAAAAGCTTCTTTCTCTTGGTGATCCGATTAGCAATGGAAATATACAAATCATTCGACGTAAATTATGGAAATGGATATGTTGACATTTTGAAAATAAACGTGAAAGTACCTTTAATTAATCACAAGTCGTGGGACGTAAAAAAGTGAGTTCCATCACAACACCATACGTATTATTAAGCTATTAGAAAATAGCACTAATCAACAGCTTAATTCTATTTCTAAAGAATATTTTTATATCACAAATTTGAACCATTTATACGTCATTTTGACATTGACAATTGTGAAATTACACTATGGACATCTGTCGACAAGATGCAGTACTATGTAATGCGTCAGTTTGCCACCAAACTGGACTGAAATCAATAACAAAATAGTGCATCTAAAAATGTTTCATAGAACTGGTCCTTCAGATGATCTGATCACAATATAATACAAGTCAGTATGATGCTGGATATTATACTCTTGTTTTTCGCGAATTCGCTATGAATATATTTAATTACTGTTGTTGCATAGTGTACTAGTGACATAGTTTAATATTTTATTTAAACGAGTTATAACTAAATTCTGCATAAAAAGATGCAAAGAAACCAACGGTTATTTAAAATTTGCTACTCCGTGATACTATTATAGAATCTAATCCTTTTAAATATGGATGATTTGCTCAAGGTCACATTGGATCAAGATATAATTAGAAGAAAGCGTTTGTTTTAAATTTTTTTATGTTTATAATAATTACAAACATGTATTTAATATATATTATTAACAATTATGTAATTATTACATATTTCTTATTGAACTTAAATTTTATTAAATTTAAAATTTTTCTAAATGCTATAAACTTATTTCAACACTCTTTAAGATAAAATGTAGAAGTAATCCTGATACTTCATGCACACATAAAATAATATATTGTGAAGATAAAATTGGTATATTTTACCAAAATTCCTAAAGAGAAAAATCTATTTTGCATATACTTAAAACGTTATTTATAATTTCAGACCAGCGCTACTGTTTGTTCATAAGGAATCCGTAATATTCATTTAATGATTTTAACATCTGCAGATATGAATATATTAAATTAGTGTAATGCATGAACTAGGTACTTAACATAGTTTGATTTTATTATTCTTCGCATTAACAACTCTTGTCAATGCACTGATTAAAACAAAAATGAAAAACAACAGCTTTGTTGATTGCTTCATGTTGATGGGTACAGCTTTATCTATGAGAGGTGGTTCAAAGCTACCAGACATGGGAAGACCACTAATTCAAGACGTTTTCACCACTTTTGTTAATTTGTCTGCTAGCATAGAAGAATTTAAGATATCGGATATTAAAAGGATGGTAAGTTGCCGATAATTGTTACAACTTTGTTACACAAAAANACTGATGATAACCTAAAATTGTATTAGCAATTTTTCGGTTTGCTATAAAAACGAAAGACAAAAGTGGACGGCACAAAACTGTTTATTTATTTATTTATTTTATTTTTAGGAGTTTGTCGTTGACGGCTTGCTGAACCAAAGATGGGTAGATCCTCGACTTGGATCCAACGCTAGAACTAGGAAAATGGCAGTTGCTGGACAAATTTGGAAGCCTATGATAACGAACACCAATGGGCGTAACAGAATTCCAAACAACGATGATACTATTTTTTGGCGAGGTTTTGGAGACGAAGGAAATGTTCTTCTCAGTGAAAAGTTTCAAATCGAGGGTTCTTGTTCTATAGATTTTCACAATTTTCCGTTCGATGTGCAGTTCTGTCAAGTGGAATTTGGGTCATGTCAGTAAAACACGCATAAACTATATATTTTTAATAATTCTAATATATTACTTGTTACAGACAGATTTCCTAGTGATGAGGTGTCGGTAATTTGGGAGAGTATGGGCGTTGATTTGCTTTCTAAAATTAAAACAAATGAATTCTATTTGGCAAACGTTTCTACCCATGTCGAAATAAACATCAGACCATCAGGTAAAGTAATCAAACATCAATATTACTTTTGTTGTTAATAAATATGATTTTTTTTATTTTTAGGTAATTTCAGCACTGCTGTAGTTCAATTCACTCTCCAACGAAACCCCGTCCACTACATAATCTGTACAGGAATACCCTGTATGATAATGGTACTTCTGAACTACATTTCTCTCTGGTTCAGCATAAGCAAAAGAACTACCAGGTTCAACATACTCTTTTTTTCGTTTGTTGTTAACCTTTATTACTTCTACGCATCGATTTGTCTCATACAGCCAGTGCCTTATTTGAAAGCTTTGGACATATTTGTGGGGATTTGTATGAGTTTCTCGATCGTTTCTCTCCTGGAAACCTTTGCTATAGACTTCTTATGCGCCGAAGAAGAAGAAGAATTTCATTTGAAGGAAAAGGCGTGTTCCAAGGAGTACCCCAAAAGCGTGTACTGGATTGAGGTGGGACTAAAGGTCGGATATCCGTTGTTTTACTTGTTTTTTGTAGCATTGTATGCAGCTACTTTTCTCAATTAAGTTGTAGTGTTTTGATGGTAGAATCTTATTTTTTTATTGCAGGATGTTGATTTAAATGTTTTTTAAATCTTTAAATATTTACCTTTCTTCAGTGTACAAGAAGTTTTTAGTAATGGGTATAAAAAATTTAAAAAATTAGTCAAATAACTTTATTTTTACCCTATAACCTTCCAAAGGCTTTAATACCTTTAAAAATTATGAGCATAATACAAATTATATATACAGTATATTAAAATTTCACCTACCTTTCAATTATATAAATTGCTTTCATAACAAAAATATTAGTCATTGTTCGTTATTTTATGAACAATGAAACTTTTCCAACAATAATAATACATTAAAAAAAATCGTCTGAAATGACAGTTAAAACAGAAATTTTATCACTAATATAGTCAGGTACAGAAACATACAGGTAGTAAAAAGTTTTACTCTTAATTTGTTTTGCTTATAGAAGTATTACTTTTTTATAAAATTAAAATATATTCACATAACCATTTCAACCTTTGACCTATTACCCAATAATTTGTTTATCACATCATTCAGCATATTACAAAGTTCATCATATTTACATAATATTCACCTCTTTATTTATTTTTATTTAGAAAAGACTGATTATGACCAGTTACAGAAAATTTTCTTGGGAACTTAAACAAATGCATAAAAAACAAACAAATATTACATTTCGGGTACATAAACCGTACTTATCATTTATTTTATTTACTGACTGCAAAATGCATAGTCAAGATTGACATGGAATCTGTGCATATTTTGCAACACTCAATTGTTTCTCATGTATTTCTTCAAGATCGCAAGAAGATTGCCATGGAATCTGTGCATATTTTGCAACATTCAATTGATTTTATAAGTATTTCCTCACAGAAACTTTTGTCTAGAATTTTTCTCTAGACAGGGGGCAAAAAGAAATAAAGACGGTAAAATCTTATGTGAATAACCCTGTACATATGTTACCGAAACATTTAGGAGGGAGTCAACTTCTTCTGCGGATCCAGCAGCACTAAAAGACCCGCTATCGAAGAAACCGCCCCCAACAGTCCTATAGTCCCCGGGGACAGCTTCGCGTGCCCCAAAGCTGTCAGGGGGATAAATAAATCACAGCCATTCTTCACCGTATCAATCACTACGTTTTGATTGCTTTGAACTACGCTTATTACTCTGGTCAAAACTTTTGTTATGTCATTAAAATTGTTGATACCGCTGTCGGGTGTAACGGTGTGTTTTTGGCATTTAATGATTTGCGAGATTTCGTAAAAATCTCGGACCAAACTCATGGTAATCGAATACAGCCAGTATTTGTTTGATATGCGGCTCCATTTTTCTGTGTTTATAGTACAGAGATCTGTCCTGCCGAGCCACAATATGTGATCGGCAAGCAAAAATAAGGCATTTGCTATTTTACTTAGAATAACTGGGTACTTAACTGATGCGTTCTCTTCTTGAAACAGGGGTAAAACAGCGTACAGGCTCTCTACGAATCTCCCAAATCGTAGCACTGTAAATGTATTGTTTTAATTTAAAATTACACAAAAGAATTCTTACATTACATCTTCTGAAGGTGCTGAGCTGATACTCTAAATTTTTTATTCCCTCAACTCCTTCTTTATTGCTCTGCTGTAGTCTATGCCACATAAATCTACTGAGATATTGCAAGAGCCTGAAAAAAGTGAGGTTAAAAAGGAAAAACATTCAACACTTAACTCACCTTGCTATTTTATCTCTTCCTGCGGTTTGATTGTTAATTTTGACTAGTGTATTCATTATTATTATTATTATTTAATAAACGTTACCTATACAGTAACTCAATATATACAAAATATAAACAATCTATTTTGACATTATGCATATTTAGAAAAAGATAGAGACAAATTGTTTCTGAGGGAGAGCAAGATAGAAAGTAATCACGTGTGGTAAGAGGGTTCATGAACGTTTGTGATAATGTAAGTTTATTTGTTTATAAAGTAATAAGCTTGCACTTTACTATTATTTTACAATGGAGCATGATCAAGAGGATTCGTCAAATGAAGAAAAGGACGTAAAACCGATAATATTCCCGAATCCCACGACAAAGAGTCCAGAGACCATTGGTTTGTCTCCAAGCTTAGTCAGCGGTCCTAAAAAGTGGTCGCCGAGATTACTGCAAGATGGAAACCGAAAAAGCGCTTTCCTTCCGTACAAACATACCTACACCTGCAACACGGTGTTAACTAATCTACAACGTGGTAACACTCAAGCCGAAACTCCCGTCCCTCAATCTACCGAAATAAATTTCCATATGAAAGCAGGGCAAGGAGAACTGACGGAACAAGATATTTTACAAGAGGATGACGTCGATATTTGCGATAAAAACAATTTAACTGCTTTGCATTGGGCTAGTGCTTACGGACAGTATAGCACTGTTCAGCTCCTTCTGAAGCATGGAGCTAGCGTTAACAAGCTGGGCCCTGAAGAAGAGTCACCGTTGATTTTGGCTGCGAGTGGGGGGCACCATGAAGTTGTTAGACTTCTTATCAACAGCAAAGCTGAAGTTAACCACGTTGACCATGTATTTTAACTAGTATTAACTGGTTTATTTCATAGTAATATTGTTTGCTTCTAGCTGTGCAACACTGCTTTGATGTACGCTGCTAGAGGGAACCATCCCCACACTTGTCAAGAACTACTCTCGCACGGTGCTGATTTTTCCTTTGTAAATTTGAATGACGATACGGCTCATGTGATTGCCGTTGATAACAGCAGCACATTGGGTGGGTAAGGTAACTATTTTTTTTTTGTAAATACAACTCGTTCTTTTATTTTCAGCTCAAACGGTTATTGAAAATTTTATCATTGCAAGGATGGAAGCTACTGGTGAATCGTCTTAGAATGAAACTGCATTTATTTTGTAATAAATTGTTGGTTTATGAAAATGTCGATTTCATGAACAGTTAATACAAAAATACTAGAAAATTGTATGCCATTGATAAAAATTGTGTATTCTGTTGATGAATTATAACTTCTTTACTTTCTAAGGCAGCTTTTATTAAACATTTTGAAACATTAATAAATAATTATGTGCAACGAATTGTGCTAATTAATATACTTAGGTACTAAATTTGCACTATCGTAACAATTATTAGTAATAATCCTTAAATTATATTAAACATGAGATAAGATATTTTGATACAGAAAATGTATATTTCATGTAATCTAAGCCATAAAACAAGTTAGAACCGGTTACACTATATTTCTCAAAATAATTTATACACTCGTCAATTATTTGATGTGAGACATAAACTTTATTATTAAAGTTTTGATTGCATGGATTTACCATAAGGAATATAAGAATTTTGCCAACTACTAACAATATTTAATATTTTATTTAAAGGTGCGAAAATCTCAATATTAATATTCTTAGGTGTATCAATGAGTCTTTGAATTTGAATGATTTGAAGAATTTCATACAAATTAGAGATTAGGCTGTTCCATTTTTCTGCATCCACTGAACCTAGTTTTCCATTGCGAATATCCAAAATCTTAGACAGCAAAAATATTAAATTCGCCACACGATTTAATACAACGGAGTATTTAATTGCCCCCTCTTCAATTTGTAACAAAAATAGATTAATGAACATGCTCTCTATTAGTTTTCTGAAGAGTATTGCTACAAAATAGAGATAGTTATAACTTTAATTTAAAATTTTAAGGTTTAAGTTTTCTTACATTTGTTTGCATCAATCTCTAAATTTATTCTTAGGATACCTTGATCTAGCTGAATTCCATGCGATTTACTAAGTTTATTGAGATATTGTAGAAGTCTATAAAGAGACAAAGAGTTAGGTTAGAAACACTCTAAATTTAGATTATTATCAATTAACTTACCCTGCTAATTTGTCATTTGCCAAGCTTACACTTTGAATTTTACCGACTTCACTCATTTTGCTAGAAGTTTTCTATGTTTATTATGATTTATCTTTGAAAATAGTCACTTAGTGAAGCGTTAAAATAATTTCTCTGAGGCAGATGGTAAGTAGGTCATACTGCTACATTTGTACGTAGGTACAAAGAATTCTTATTTAATTTTTTAAATTAGCTCGTATTATATTCAAAGACGTTAATACTCTTTGATGCGGTTAAGGAAAAGATGGAATAGTGAATTGAAGTCGGATAGGTAATAATGATTTATTTACTTCTAAATTTAAATTAAATTCACATTTTTGTGGATAATAATAATATAACTACCCAATCCAGACTAATGCATTTCTAAAAATTGGGTAGCTAGTAAGTACATACATTAATAACATGAATTCAATATACATATATAGGTGTAACTTCCACTAACTGTTTTTTAACCTTTTTTTTCATAACCTTCATACCCACCGCTGGAGTCAGTGAAAACATGCTTCAAGCTGAAAGCTGCGAAATTAGGTACCTACCTTCCGGTGCAAATATCTTATCGTAACCGATAAACAGAAAACTAAAATAAATGTAATTAAGCGGTGACATTGAATTAGTGTTGACAATTTATTTTTCGCCGTTTGACCACCATCTTGACATTTCACGTAAGGTGTAAAGTCATCTTGGATATTCCAACAGTATAAATAATGATCAAGAACGGGCTACCGCGAAACCATTGGTCGAAACACCACCAGACACGCTTTCAAATCCTATAATAGTTTTCGTGCGTATTATTAGCGGCTTAATTTTGTTGTTGTTTTACGTTATGATGACGATTAGAAGCACAGACACAGCTGCTGAAGCGGCTGCATGTATTTTGAATACAACTTTTTAACTTTTTAACTGTTTAATAATACGTGTTTTAACATTTCTAAATGTGTCTCTATTTACTTTTATGACCACGCCATGGCTGCGCGTAATTGTTTAGTTCGTTGGAATATCCTAAAAACTAGGTCAATGTCAAAAGTCATTGACACAGGTTCACAAACTAAATCTGAGCTTTAAAGAATAGGAACAAAATACTTCACATTAATTTAAAAGATAATCACTAATTTTGACACCATTCCTTGAGCAGTTCCTGGCAGAATATAATAACTGGTAATCTTTAGGTTAAATACTACTATTTTTTAAATAGGACTGTCGACAAAGCTTGTGGACATATATTTGAGACAGGTGTATTTATTACATCAGATTATCCAATATTATAAACTGATTGTTAAAAACTTACGTCGCAGTCGCATGTTTTTTTTATTTACCTATATTTAGAAATAAAATATCAAATGTGCTATATCATGCACTCTTCAAATTTTGATCGAATTCGATAATATAGGTATTCATATCTTTAGATCATAGGCAAATATGCCGATGGTAGGTAACCTACGTGCCATGATCGACGTCCAAACCTATTGTAATCATTCAGTTGTATAAGAGATATGTAATATCTACTTATCTATGCCAGGATACGATCTGCAAAGCTTATATACCACTCAAAAAATCTACGTATACTTTATTTTTCAACTCTAAAGTGCCACAAAATCTCTCCAATTGATCATTTTATATTCTCTTTTATTCTAAATTAGCTTTATTTTATTTTTTTCTCCAAAGAATGTCAGGGTCAAACTGATTGAAGATAGTTTGAAAATGGATGCATCATTGTTGACGTTAATAAAAGATCTTTCCAAGGACATACACACTTACTACATCGACATCAAGATGGACAAGCTGATTCAGATTGTGACGTATAAATATTTGATATGCAGGGATCGGGTGGTGAAGCGGGACGCGATGGGCTTTATATACGTCCCGTGTTATAAAATCATTGCTGTCAACGCAAAGACAAATATTCTTTATGACTAGAAAGTAACTTGAGATACTTGCTTGTAGATATTGAGTTTAAAATACTAAAAATGATATATTTTCATTTCTCAATTATTATTTTTTACCACCAAATGCATAAATAAATGTCAAAAGTTGCAACAGAAACTTGGCAACAGCGCACGGGTATGCTAAGTTTATTATTTGTAAGTTGACGTTGATAGTCCTTGTTATGTATATGTATGTACATTATACTACGTGATCGTATGGACAGCTGACTGTTTTAACCTATAAAATGAAGGAGAGAGTCGGTAGAAAGGAAAATTTGTGGCCAAAAGAAAGTATGAGTGCTTGATAATTAGAGCAGAAAATAGTAAAAGCATGAAAAAAGCTGTTGAAGAGAAGATTGTGTAGCCAGAACCTCAGCACACCGTTCGAGAGCATCAACTAATCGACATGGTACAAAGCATGCACTGCTCTTTTTGCAAAGAACTTCTACGAATTTTAGATTATCTACAAACTGTGACCACGAAGAGATTCGCGTGGAAAAGTTTAAATATGATTTAGTTACATGCATAAGTAGCATACTACTATGATGTACTTTTGTGAATACACAGTCCCTTATAAGACAAGTGTCAAGTCGTTAAGAGTTTGGTTCGACTGTACGAGGTGATCGATTAATTGAACTCGAATAATTTTTGATTATGTATCCTCCATGGCCTCCATGTGTTATTAGCTCCTGCATCAAGTTATTTATTTGTGGGATATTTTAAGTCTTTTACCTCATTTGTGGTGTAGTTTAAATTTCTTCCCAGTTTATATATTTTTCCACTATTGAAATAAACAATTAATTAAAGAAATCTTTATGCTAGAAGAATCAGTTACTGGTTATTTTTACTAAACTGTTAAAGGTTTTAAAATGTACCTACTTACTTTCCTGGTGCAAATATGGAATCTGTGAGGTTATAAAAAATGAACTACATACTACATATAAGATAAAAGCACTTATGCCTTGCAAGATGCTACAAGGGAACAAGTTACACGTGATTTGTTCTCTTCTTACTTACATTATTTCCATGATAGAGGTTTTCAAATTTTTAAGAAATTCGATTTAAGAAAATTGGGTACAATTTTTCTATATGCTTTGTTAAAACAACATACTTCTGAAACAAAACTACTGTTTTGGTTGGCCTTGATTTTTAGTGTATTTAACAATTTTTTTCAGAAACAGCAAAACAAAGAAAAAGTGCACAGTTGCGCAATTTACTTTAAAATCTGCAAATATTCAAATTTGGCAACATTTTTTTATAAATAAAATTAAATATAAAATTAAAAAAAGACATACGAAATAAACCTGGAACATTTTTAATTTCATAACAGTTATAAGAATATAAAAACATGTAGAGTAAGAATATTGAAAATTAACTAACTAACTAACTAACTAACTAACTAACATAGTTAAAAATAATAACAACTTCAACTAATAATGTTTTTAGTTTGATTTGTTATTATTAATGGTTATGTTTATTGTGCAATTCGTATTATTGCACAGGTTTAGTCCTTTTGGAGTTTCATTTTGTGACACTGCAGTTATTGAAGCAGACTCTTCGCAAATGTTTTGATTTTCTCGACCTAATGATACAGTTGTTGTATCTTGCAAATAGGAAGGGTTAAACAACTTTTCGTGGACCTCAATATTTCTTTGTACGGATTCTTCGATATATCCTTCTGCTACATTGGAAGAACGCCATCTTCCGTGCCTTTTCAGAGTAAGTAAATCAGCGCCGATTTCCACCAGCATGGTTTCCGATGAACGATGAACGCCTTAGTCCATGCACGGTATATTTTCTGGGATCTTCTAGTTTTAGGTATTCTGCAAGAATTTTCGGAACACCACTGTTGGTATGGCATCAACGTGTTGAACGTAACACCTGCTGTTTCGATATGCAACAATCTTCTGCTGTTCATATTTTTAAGTCGTAGACATGCATCTCTACCATACAGTGTATAGCGCTCAAATGTACATCCTTCATTGGCAATGGTGAAACTTCTTGATGTATGAGTTTTTCCATCTCGTAAACAATTTAAACGTATTCGATATGCACCAAAGATCCCAAACACTAAAATTGCCTTTGGTAGTAGATATTGTTTATCTGGAGCGTCACATAAAAATTTGGTTACTTGTCCCGTTGTTAAACTTTGGACTTTTTTGGTATACCTATATTCTACAGCTTGACACTCAAGAAAGC